AGTTTGTTGAGATTTATAGGGGGATAAGGGGTGTAACTAACCCATTAATCCACTCCTAAGTGGGTGTGATTTCCTCAGATCGTGGAGAAAACGATTTTGAAACCGTTCGGCTCATGTTTGAATGATTCAAACACCCAGGTCGGTATTTGGGACCCTAACTCTGCGTCTTAGGCTAGAGACACGGAGTTGGGCGTCTGCCGGATGTTGAAAACGTAGGGGCCACCTGTGTTTCGAATTTTAAACGCAGGGATGAGTTCTGTGTTTTAGAAGAAATTGTTGACTTGTAATCTCTTCTTCAGAGCATTACAAAGACCATCATTCAGTGATTTTTTCTTTAGCTATTTGGGGTGTGAGAGTCGTCAGATTGTAACTCTCACAGTTGATTGCTAAGGCTATTGAATCAGGCCTTTCATCAATCGTCATGAAGATCGTCAAATTGTAACATTTCTCGATCTACATGAAAATCCTCTTCTTGCAGCTTTCATTTGTTGACATGAAAGTCATCTGATTGTATTTTTCTTTGTCAAGATTGTTAGTTGAGGTTTGATAGGGATCAGCTATCTACTATGATTTTTAAACAGCCTACAAACAACGAGTCAAAGAATATCAGGATCTTACCTCGAGTACATCAAACGATTCAACCCAATCGTCCGAGTCGCGGAGTTTATCTGAGCGAGTCTGAAGAGCGTCAGTCAGAGTGTGTTGGGTGTGAACGGTGACGAGGGTTTGCCGGATAGCGGGTCGTGGTCGATCGAGCGATGGGCGCATAGGGGAGATGGCGATGTCGGGCTCGGAATTTGAATCGGCTGGCGACGAGATGGGGTTCGCGGGCAGGGTGCGCGTCGCGTGCATCGGGTTTGGGCGAGCTGGAGGCTGGTTGTCGCTGGTCGGATCTGGTGAGAGTGGTGGCTCGCTGCTGGTCGGAAAGGAGCCTTGGTGGCATCGGGCGCGCACTCGGGGAGAGGAGTGGCGGTGTGGGGCTGGCAAGGGGTTTGTTTAGGACGGCTTGTGCGAGTCGGGGATTGGGAGGCGCTGCGCTGGGAGAGTGCTGGCCGGGGGTTGAGTTAGGAGTCGTTCGGTGCAGAGGACAGGGCGTTGGCAAGAGCGAGGTGTGTGAGGTAGAGGCGCGGCAAGATGTCGGCGGCGAGAGGGGTGTGGTTGTAGGAGGAGGGCGTGCAGTGTGAAGGAGGAGATTTGGGGGGTTGGGGTGGTGTTGGAGGCACCGGTCGTTGAGGCTCGGCTAACGGGGGGACTGGGTGGGCAAAAGAATCAATTTTTGGTGTGTCGGTTTAGGAGGTGGTCGACGGCAGTGGGCTTAAAGCGGTGGCCCGGAGGTGTAGTCGACGGCGACGAGGGAGGTGAGGTGGGCTGACGAGACGGGGAAGAGCGAGAGGAGAGAGAGAGACGGCCAGCTAGAGATCGAGAGTACGAGAGGAGAGAGGGTGAGGTACGGTGAGCAGGGAAAATCCTAGCGATGAGGAGGTTATATATATATATATATATATATATATATAATTAGGGTTTAGGGAATTAAACAAAAATTAATTAAAATAAATAATTACTAATATTTAAAAATCAAAATAATTATGAAATAACTATTTATAAATAAAAACGTACCAGTTGTATTAATATAATAGCTGATACACAACAGAAGAAATAATACAACAAATTGTAAGATTAAGAGATAATAATTAATAATATATATATACTTACATTTAAAATCAAATAATTATAGGATAATTATGTACACAACAAAGCGTACCAGTTGTGCTAATACAAAAGTTGATATGCAATAGTAGAAATAATACAACTAATTGTACAATTAAACAAGAATAATTAATAAAAATATAATTACTCATATTTAAAAATAAATAATTATGGAAGAATTATCTACATAATAAAATGTACCGCTTATACTAATACAACCAATAATATGTAACAGTAGAAATAATACAACAAATTATACAAATAATACGTAATTAATAATACAACGTATTATATAAAATAATATGTAATAATAATAATAATAATATAACATATTATTCATAATGATACGTAATAGTATCGATAACATAACGGATAAACTCCAGAAATTTTTACTGCACTAAATAAATTTATAAATATCTAAATTATTTAGATAAATATAAAACTTAGATTTTAAATCATAGAAACTTATAGAAATAGAGAAAAATATAAATACTCTTTTAAAATTAATAATTAAATATTTTAAAATACCATAAAATTATTTTAACTAGTATCAAAAATTCATTGTCATTACATGGCATGTGTGCAAAATGAATTCCTCTGTGATAGGATCCCTGTCTTGTTGTGAAAGTATTTAACAAAGCTATCAACTGACTCCCCGTGCTTTTGTTTCTCGTCCAAAAGAGCTCCAATCGACACTCCGATGTTATCGTCGAAGAAGTTGTTGAGGAACGAGTTTTTCATGTCGTCCCAGCTATTGATAATTCCTGGCTTGAGACAGCGGTACCAATCGAAGGCGGCCTCGCGAAGGGTGCTAACGAATGATCGGATCATCAAAGGTTTATTACCGAAGATCACACCCAGGTGGGACTTGAAGTAAATCAGGTGTTGAGTGGGTGAGCCTTTTTCGTCGAACGGCGTGAAGTTAATTAGATTGAACTTCGCCAGATACGGGATTAACTCCCACTCCCTTGGGTTGAGACATGGAATACCAGTCTTCTTTATCTCTTGAGCGGACATCAATTCTTTGATCTTGCTCTCTAGGTCTTTTATTTTCTCGTCCTTGACCGTATTCTTCTTTGGGTGATTTCGAAGAGGAACAACTGGATCACCCCCAGCATTGTCATCCTCGGTGGGACCATTCTAGTATTTTGGTCAACAGGAGGGGTAACAGTGTTGAGATTGTTATCCACGTCTAAATCACTATCTTCTTGATTGGTAGTGTTACGACGGCTAGATTCACTAATTTGATTTGATAATGCTTGAATCTGTTGATTATGCAATTCCCTTATTCATTGCACAGTCATTTTCATTTCAAATTTGAAATTCTCTTTCTACTTGGCCAAAGCGTCTTCGATGATTTTGGCCATTTGTTCAGCATTGATCATGAACGCCTCACAAGATTGTATTGTGTTGGACATCGTATTGTCGGAAGTGATCGGGGAATTAGCGTCTGACGTTTCATCCTCCGAGGAGTGTCCTCTGTCTGGTCTAGGTCGTCTAGTTCCTGACCGTAACCAAACGATGCGCTGAGATGCCTCCGAGAAAGATTCAGGGCTGTAACGCCTTGTCGATTTTCCTTTATCGGCCACATTGATGGTAACTTCTGGAAACTCGTCATCATGACCAGCAAATTTCTTCTTGTAGAAGCGTCTTGATTTAGATTTAGACACTTCGATAGAGATTCCCTTGAATACCGAGACCCTCCGTTGATCAGTCTTCGAGCAGTTATACACTATGATAATACTACCCTGATTAACCTCTCATAAGGACAGTGAGAGTCCGATTCTGGGATACTTCTCTTTCGAGATTTCTTCATACCTCTCATAAGGACAACGAACGTGGGCATGACACTTGTATAATTAATATAATATGAGTTTTTAAATGCGTAGGTACTAAAATAGATGTCTGTAAAGGCGTATAATTCTAAATAGGCCTAAATGTAATTCAATATCGGCTCACAATGAGAATGTTGTTCAATTTAAAATCTTATTTGTGCATACCCATAACGAAGTTTTCTTCCAATTAAAAATTATTTGGGCTGAATAAAAAAATGAAGTTGGGGTTTTTACATACATACCCCTCAGATCTTTAATATTTGAAAACTATTTGTCTCTTTACTGGTTATTATTATAGGAAATGAAATTTAAAGATAAAAATATAAATCCTTATCTTTCATCATGATGTTGTAGTTTAGTAGGATAGGATAATAATTTTTCTTGTCTTTGCTAATTATTATAGATAATTAAATTTAAAGATAAAAACTAATATCTCCTAACTTAAATATTTTAGGATTGAATAACAACTATTTATCTATTTACTAATTACTATAAATAATTAAATTTAAAGATATAAAATAAATTCTTATTAATTCTCTATCTTTTATCTAAAATACTACATATTTAAATATTTTTTCCGTAATTTCCCATTATTGTTATCTATTTTAATTAGGATAGAATAACAATGTAATATTTAAAAGGACCAATGTTATTTTTGTCATGGAAAGTTTTGCCCAAAATCATACTTTTATAATGAGTAAGTATGATATGATATGATTAGATAGATAGATTTTCCTAGTCAATAAATTTTCTAGACATCTTACTTTGCAAATTAAATGTCAAGAGTAAGAAACTTTTCTCTACCCGCTCCTATATGTATAACTATTGTAGGATATGTATAAAAAGTCCTAAGAAAACAAAACTCTTGTTCAAAAAAGAAAAAAAAAAGCCCTTAAGTACAGCAATAAAACCAATCAAGTTGAAGCTTATTCGATCCTTATCATCTCTACCCGCTCCTTTTACTATTCCTGTCTTTGCATAGATAATTTCTATTCGATGCTCAATTATGAGATGCAAATTAGAGTAACCAGGTCCTCTCTCATTCTAGTCCGTCCAATTGAAGCCAACTAGAGGAGCCTCCTCCTAATTCTGACCGACGACGCAATAAAAATTTGCCGTAATGCGAATCCGATATCGTATTTCCCAAAAGAGAGGATCACATTAAAAGAGGGAAACTTATATGGGATAGTTTCCTATATTTGTGATCTAATTCTCTGGCGTGGGCCCCAAAGTGCTCGTCAAATTGCAGATAAAATTCACAAACACACTGCCCCTTGCTCTCGTTAAGGAAATAAAAATGTTTAATTAAGCGGGGTGTTCCCTTTTTATCCTCTCTATTATTTTAAGATATTCCAATTTTGACACGTTTGTCTTTAGTACGGTACCTATGGGCTTGTATAAATTCAACAGCACTCCTTGACGCGGTTTCATTGCTTGCTCGTTTCTAGACAGAGAGAGAGAGAGAGAGAGAGAGAGAGAGAGAGGGAGGGAGGGATGGGAGGAGGTGGAGAGATGATGGAGAGAGGGAGCGCAACAGTTGAAGAGATGGAATCATACAAAAATTTGGACGAGGTTGATGATGATGGCAAGGCAAGAAGAACCGGTGAGCCTTCTTTCTTAATTTTAATTCGAGTTCTTTTGATTTGTTCATGTTATCGTCGAGTAGGCTAATTTTCTCTGTATCGATCGTTTCTAAAAGAAATCAGTTTTCTTTTCCATCAAGTCTAACAATTGTACTGTTCTCTTTTCTTCTTTGAGGAAAATGACCAATTTAATTTGCTTGATTTCTTATCGAAGAACAGTAAGCAGTACGTGAATGAATTAGTACTTTGTAACGCAGTTTCATCAAAATCTAGCTTTTTTCCCCCCCTGCAGCTTGCTTCATCTATGTTCTTTGAAGTTTTTTTTTATGCTATTGGGATAAAAGTGATTTATATGAAATTAAGTAGTCACGTCAGGTACACGTGTAGGGAATCTTCTAACAGTAGAGAAGAAATAGAATCTTGGAGAATCCTTCCTATTTAAGTAGCTTTGGAAACATCAAATCATGTTTCCCAAGAAAATTAGGCAGTCATCAAATTAATTATTATTTGAGAAACTTTTTTCTCAAAATTATTCTGTTTAGAGTCTAAACTCATTATTTTGTCTAGGGACATTTGGTTTTTTCATGGAGATCATAGGAAATTAAGGAAAAATTGGATTGCACCGTCAAGAATTATGGTCGGAATAAAAAATCTTATTCAAAATTTGTGATGGTATGGATGGAAAAATTGTTGACGATTCTATGCAGGAAGTTCGAAACCCTCTCTCAATTTGAAATCGTAATCCTCATCAACAATGTTCAACTAGTAACTCTCTCTCACTTTAGATATAGAGAGAAGTGGAGTCGCTATGGATATTTTTCAACAACATAAGAAATTTGAAAGCTAGGAGATTTTTTTTTAAAAAAATCTAACATTGCCAGCCAAAAACATTCCGTGTTGACTGATACTTTGATGGGTTCATTGAATCCGAATCAGAGCACACATACACGTGCTAGCATGGGTCCCTAACCGGCCCACTGTAAACAAGGTGCACAAATAAATACAAAATTGCATTAATTGCAAACCTCCGGCCTTTTCTTATTCCTTGATAATCAATTTGGCATCTACTGTACAGTAGTCAACTGGATTCTTTTTCAAATGCTATATATAGAAGTTCATGGTGACACACACAGCGTAGGTAGGGTCGTTGGATCCGAACCCGCACGAAAGCGGGTTGTGGATACGTCTTCATTGAGGAAACCGGTGGTTTTTTCTTAGAATCAAATGAATACAAATCTTATTAGAATTCCTTGTATGTGGGTTTTTGATAAATTTGTATGTAGGTTTTGATAAATCTTATCAGAATCCCATGAATGGCTTAGAACATCCCCCAGTGAATGGCGCAGAACGTCCTAATTGCACGTGGGTTTTTGATAAATTTGTATTCGAACAGAATTGACTTTAGATACCAAGGTAGGACCGATCCAACAGATCCAACCGAACCATCGCTCATGTAATATCATACCCAACCGTGGGTTTCTTTTTTTTAAAATCAGTAGGGATTCTATCGATTATAAATTAGGAACTTCAGCACAAGGTTCCTTTTGCAATTAATCCCTTATATTTTCTTCAAGATTTGGATTTTCCTAGTTTTTGACGGCATAACATGCCAATCATAACTTGGAATATGTCCATCTTTTGTTTGTACAGGATAAAATACCGAAAATTAAACTTTACAAAGTAGCCTATAATGTCAATAATATCATATGTTCAGGAACGGTGTGGACAGCAAGTGCACATATAATAACAGCCGTTATAGGCTCCGGCGTTCTTTCATTGGGCTGGGCAATGGCCCAACTCGGATGGATTGCTGGCCCGCTAGTTCTCTTCCTCTTCTCAATCGTCACGTACTACACCTCCATCCTCTTAACGGACTGTTATCGAACCTCTGATCCTGTCAACGGAAAAAGAAACTACACTTACATGGACGCTGTTAAATCCAATCTTGATGCAACTAAGTATTGGCTTTGCGGTATCTGTCAGTATGTCAATCTCTTTGGAACAGCTGTTGGCTATACTATCACTGCGTCGATCAGTGCTCAGTAAGAGTTCCTTTATTTCATTAATAAGAGTTTAACACAACATTTTTTTCTTATCTGCGCGCGCAATTTAATAGTTACTTAATTGTCACAGGGCTATAAGCAAGGCAAATTGTTTCCACTACGAGGGTCACGATGCAAATTGCAAAGTTTCGGAGAGTATGTATATGATCGGTTTCGGTATCGCTCAGGTTTTTCTGTCGCAATTGCCAAATTTTCATGACTTATGGTGGCTCTCCATCGTCGCTGCCATTATGTCTTTTGTTTACTCATTTATCGCCATTGGACTCTCGATTGCCAAAATAATCTCAGGTAATGTCAATCTCCATCTCAAAATCCCGTTATAGGTGATAACAGTACGAGTCTGATGAACATTTTCATGAACAGGAAATATAGAAAGTGCCACTTCAATTACAGGATTGGAAGTTGGAGTTGATATTAGTGCAGCTGGTAAAGTGTGGACAACATTCCAAGCGCTTGGAGATATAGCCTTTGCTTACTCGTACTCCATGATTCTGATCGAAATCCAGGTATGTCATCTAATTTGCAATCGTTAGTAAGTTGCACAGCAGAAAAGTTTATTGAATTTAATGGTGCTGTTCAGGATACAGTGAGATCGCCTCCAGCAGAAAACAAGGTAATGAAGAAGGCAACCCTAATTGGGGTATCGACAACCACCACATTCTATTTCCTCTGTGGTTGTCTGGGATATATCGCCTTTGGAAATAAAGCACCAGGAAACATATTGACAGATTTTGGGTTTTATGAACCCTACTGGTTGGTCGATTTCGCTAATCTTTGCGTCGTTGTTCATTTGGTCGGTGCTTTCCAGGTAACAGTATCGTTCACCTCCTCCATCAAAAATACAATTTCACAGGTAACTGACTGCAATATATAATCATCAGGTATACAGTCAACCATTATTCGCTGCATTCGAGACATGGACTGCCAGAAAGTACCCGGATGTAAAATTTTTGACACATGAAATACCCTTGATCACGAGCAAACGCCTCAAATTCAAACTCAATATGTTTCGATTAGTTTGGAGAACAATTTTCGTTGTCCTTTGCACTGTTCTAGCCATCGTGTTTCCTTTCTTCAATGATGTTGTAGGATTCATTGGAGCAGTAGGTTTCTGGCCACTTACGGTGTACTTCCCTATCGAAATGTACATTCAACAGAAGAAGATCAGGAAATACAGTGGAAAGTGGATTTCAATGCAATTATTGAGCATTGTGTGTTTGTTGGTGACATTGGCTGCAACAATTGGATCTGTGGAAGGAGTTTGGGATTCTCTTAGAAGTTATAAGCCCTTTTCAGAATAAATTGTTGAAGATCTAGTTTGCTGATCCTGATTGATGTAAGCAGGGGGGTTCATTTTGTTTGAAGAAAGCTGAAAGAGCTAAAGCCCAATTTTTCCTTGTTATGTCCTTTGAATGTGTTCATAAATTACTGTTATATTGGTTTTTTTTACAGCAAGTTGCTCATAGACCCAGGTAGTGTCGCTGTGTTTAACTTACTACTTGGTGTTATTGCTGTAGATGGACCCTGAGTGAAATTTTTTGTTCTCTTTCACTCTCATGGTGTCCTTTTTTTTTCTTTTTTGGGTTGGGGGACTAAAAGTGTAGTAAGTTTAAAACAACAATACTGCACACAGTCTATCCGCAAGTTACCCAGGTAACTGTAAGTGCAGCTTACATCCCAAAGATTATACCATACGCTTATAAGAAGAGAGGGGGCCTAACAATAGCAGCGGGAATTTACGTGACAAAGTTTGTAGGGGGCAAAAAAAAAAATTTCATACTCAAAAGGCGACAAGAACTGCATAATGGAGCAATATAAAGCCAATTGAGTGCGCAATAAGATATCAAACCATAATATCAATGAGAATGAGAATAAAACCTAATTTTTATACAATCCGAAATAGGGCATTCAGAGAGAATAAGAACCCCAACGGAACCACCCCTATGGAATTGGGGTGTGTTTAACCATAAAGATAAAAACTAAAATTTCAAAACTAACACTCTCTTGATCGCCATAGATCCTCCTATTCTATGCGTGGCTCTGATATATGATTCATACTCATTTGGAGATACAATGACAAAATTTTCCTGGAACAGAAGCGCATGACAACAGAGAACATAAAGAAGTCCTGTTAGAATTTGCTTGAACAAGTATTGGCCTCACAATCACTGAGAGACAAGCACACTTAATGATCATGCATAACAAAATACATTTCAAGCAGTAGAGCTGTGCCACTCTTTTCCCTGCAGGAACTAATATATTTTAGTGATTATCATAATTTATTGGCTTCAGAATCTTGAAAGTGAAGACATTTTCGAAATAGAGACAAGATATAGTAGTCAAAGATCCCATAACAAAACAGGTCTAATCTAAGAATCCAATGGTGCATAAATTGTTTTCTCTCAAAAGAGAAAAGGGAACCCCTGAAAATGAAGCTTTTCACCAAATACATTCGAACTCTTAAGTTTACTTTCCTTCGTCATCTGAAATAGACATGCTTAATCAGACTCCATACCCCATTATGCTATTTGGTAAAAACTTCAATATTTAGAACTATTTCTTCGATACGGGCTAAGGAGTTTCAAATTTTAAGCAGTTTCAAACGACTCAACTCCAACACAATGAACTAGCTTCAGGAACACTATCATACAACAAACCAAGATCTGTTAGCCGTTTTAACCAATCTTAAGAAACTAGATAATTTTAAAGCATGTCCAATATCTGTACCATATACTTAAACTTCAAGTTTCAATGAAGTCCAAAATTGATAAAGATGATTGCTAGAGCAGATAAGCTAGAAAACCATTCAAAAGAAATAGATTACCTTTCTAGAAGAACCCTAAGTAAATTTTACAAGGAAGCATAACAGATGATGAGAAAAGGAAATAGGCATATAAAACAAACTATGGTTTTTTCCCTTAAACAATAGCAATGAAACAAACCAGGTTTTCACCAAGGCCTTGCAGGATATACCTTCCAAATATAAATGACATCCTAAGAGAATCCTCAAATAACATCCAGCACAATAGCACGCATTTCACCAATGGATGCAGGTGCTAACAACCATTCAATATAAACAGGACATACTAATATCAGACAAAAATCAATTAAAACCTGTATTCTTTTAGACTAGAAGATCCACAGTAACCTCACGGGTATGCTGTATGCAAGAGACATACTACAGTCAGTAAATAATTACCTGTCCAAGAAACTATGACCTTAAAAAAATATCAATCAATAATGAACTTGCTGCTAAGCCTTGTCTCATAGGAATTACACAAATTGGATACTAGATGAGTTATGTATTATATTAGTTTTGAAATCGAACCCAGCCATGAGAGCAATTAACATATGCATACTGTATTACAAATAGTCACAGTACATGTACACTTATATGATGGAAACAATACAGTTGCTGGACAACACCACTTCTTCCCCATTTCTAAATAATGTCCTTAATACCCTATAAATGTATTGAGTTGTGTACTAAATTAACGTCATGTAGCCTTGATTTAAACTGCCAGATTACCAAAAATTGTTGTCAATCAGTTAGAAGCTATTCTAGGGAACAATAACTAGAATCAAGTTATGTAATCTAAAGGAATCTATCCTCACTCTCGACAGAGTTCTAAAGGTTTTGCAAGTCTCAAGCCTAATAGAAAATGGTATCAGACAGGGGGCAAGGTCTTTCTTTGA